TACCACCTGGCCTTTCACAGGGGTCCCGCCTCCATGGCATGGCAGAAAGCTCTGGCCCACCCTAGGGCAGCCATTGGCCTTTGCACCAGGAAAATCTGTAAGTAGGTGAAAGGAGTGAGCATGAATGCATCACCAAAAAGGGTAGGGCAGCCCTGGGGCCCCACCTGGCAGGCCAGGCCTCAGGCCCCGGCCCGCGGCAGGCCACGCTTATGGGGCCAGGTGTGACCGTGAGATTTGGGTGATTCATCCTTCTCTTGATATTTTGCCACTATCTTTTGGCGATATAAGAGTTAGCTCTCTATAAAACTTGCAAAAAAAAAACTACCAGTAAATAAATATTGAATGCCTGTCTAAAGATCCGGGAATTTCCAAAGGGTTTGGTAGGAGGATGGCAATAACGTTTAGGTAATGAACACCATATCTACCAAGACTCTAATATTATATCACCTTCAATTGGACCTGGAGCAAACCAGCACAATGGTTTTTTTCCCACAACCCTCTCACTCAGCTCCATCATGACATTCCGCCTTTCTGGTTGGGTCCCCCACCACCTAACCAACCTAACCAACCACCGGAAGGTCTGGTCCAGGACTTGTAAGCCACATAAACCAATGCAGACGTAGCCCCGATGAGCGCGCTGACGGATAGATAGACTGTCAGCCGGTCTGTTGCTTTCTCTGCACCACCCGGGATTGAAGAATTCCTAAAAAGAAAAAAAAAAGGACAAGAGCAGTACAGGTGCGATTAGGAACAGCTGAAGATAGGATGAAAAAAAGCGTCTCTCTTACGGATTGGTGGCAATTCCACAAAGAATTGGCCAAAGGTCTGCGGTCTGGTTAGTCCGCATGCTTACGGCTACTGGAACCCGGAGACTGAGTTTTCGACAATAGACATCAGGTTGAACTTCGTGCCTCTAAATCGATACAAAGTAGAAAGGGTATCCATTGTCAATGTTGGTCGATAGAGGGACATGTAATTATAGAAGAGGTAGCTGACCTGTTGGGCAAGATCAAGATCGGCTTTACTGGCGACAAAGAGGGTCGGGATATGATCCACTTTGAATTGTTGCTAGAGCATGTCGAAAATGAGGATCAGCTACCGATCAAAAACATCCATCTTGGAAGGTGAACAAAGAGTCAGAGGAAGGTCCCTACACGTAAATTGCTGATGTAGGAGAAAGAGTTAGTGTCCGAGCTGTCATAAACAAACACAAGTACATCCGCCATTCCCAGTTTTTTTGAATTCCGTAACACCTCACCACCTTCCCAGGCGGCAAACTCTTGGACCTAAACGGCATTGTCTGTCAATCATTTGATGTTCTAGTGCACAACGGGGTAGGACTGACCACAAGGTATTTCTCTGCCCCTTTAAACTCCACGCTGTTCACCACTGTCAAACTTCCTCGACTATTGTGGTCTTCGCTATACCGTTTGCGAACGAGATTGCGGCATAGAGAACTCTTACCGGATCCAACAGCGCCAAAAACGTAAATAAGGTAGGTTGTCCTATTTACCTTGTTCTTCTTCTTGCGTTCCGACTTCCGGGGTTTGGTCAGAGTCAACGCGCTGGTGGTGGGTGAGGGGTAACCCAAATGTGCGAGGTAGGCTAGCGTTATACGATGGTCGAGAAGGGTAGTCATACTGTTGCGATCCACAATCAAGTTCTGGGGACAAGCTGGGTAGAGAGGCGGGCGAAAACATACCTCCACTGGGCTAGCCAACCCTGTAAGGTCACGTAGTTGCTATCATTTGTAATTGTTGTGTCTGGAAAGCCTTGATTGATCCACGGGTTTCCAGGAGATGTACTGAATAGGTTATCTAGCTCCTCGTCGTTCAACGCACCATCTAGATCCTAAAGGCACACAGCCAGAGAGTCTAACTTAGTGTGTGAAATGAGGGGCAGTACAAAATGACTAAATACACAAACCTTGTCAAAAATTTCAAACAAGTCGGTGAAGAAAGCGTAACCTGACGGACTGAGTTCAGCAGAACAATCATTGGGAACATCAAATCTAGCGAGTGGAAATAGTTGTGCGATCAGGTGAGCAAGATGCTGATGAAAGCAAGATAAAATTTGACCAAACAAAAGCGGACCTGGGGGCCAAGAAGGATTCACGCAGGGTCAAGTCATCACCGTAGCCAAATGCCCGGAGAACGCCCCATACAGTTTCCAGTCGACCACGCTGGATGAAACATGTGTGAAGGTAGAGAAATCCGTCTTGGGTGATCCGGCCGTCATAGGTCAAAAACTGTGGATTGTCCTGTAGAACATCAGTTTTAATGGTCCGAAGCTCCTTAGACTGAAGTGGGACCCCAAAACATTTTCGCTGTGAGGAGGTTCATAGAGAAGCGAGAGGTAAGTAAGCGTTATTTTTTTTTTTTTTCGGAATACTGGGCATCTTTGAGATCAGGAGCAGACGGAGGATTAATTCCTTGATCATCGATCATACGTCTATGTTTCGAAAGACCGCATGTGAGTGAATGACCTATGACTGCTTACTTGAAATTCATGTAACTCTTCATCATCCAACACATTGTCCTTGTTCACGTCACACAACTTGAACACTCGCGTCAGTGCCTTCACGCACGCAGGCTTCAATGACTGAGCAAGCGGTGTAGGAACAATCGAGGGAGATATATTAGTTGGACACGTTAGGCTCACAGAATCTAGGCTGAGAGACGAAATATACATGTTCTCGTGAATCATAGAGAGGAGCTGTCGGATGAAGGACAGCATTCTGGGCGAGATAAAAGGTTTCGCTGATGTTCTAAGAAATGTACAGTTCCATCAGCAGTCGTTGAGGATTATCTTCATCGAAAGAGGAAGATGACATACAACTGAAGCTTTTGCGCTACATTCAATACATGTCTCTATCTCTTTAAACTCCCTCATCAACGGTGCTAATTCTAGAAGCAGTCAGGAAAAATAAAAAAACCGCGTGAGTCAAATTGTACTTTTTGTAGTCCAAGAGACAGTAAAGTAAAGGGAGAAGGACAGACCAGATTGAAAAGCTTCGTTTGTAACATCTTCATCCTGTCTTAGGTCGATTTTGTTACCAACCAGGATCACTGGGCTAGCAGATAGCCAATAGCGAGGCCAACGATCAGTCTGGGATACCTTCGATTATCGGGGGAAGACGGACACCGGTGATGTACCTACACATTCACACCCAGCGATCTGATCGTTGGAAGCCAATAAGTGGTAATCCGATCGAAGGTGATTGGATTGTCGACCGAATAAATGATAACCACCACGTGTGCCCTGCGAATTTCTGTCTCCAGGTGATGACGGTCTTCAGGGCGTGCTAGTGACGAGTTGAGGGAAACGTTAAGTGTCAACTGGCGGTGGAGAGATAGGGATGTGAAGGCATTTACGGGAGGTGTCGATAAGATGGGTGGTAATGTTGGGCGTGACCTCAGGCGGGATAGAGACCTCGGGAAGGACGAGTCCCGGCGGAAGCTCATAAAATCGCTCCTTTATCAACGCGGTGATGATGGTACTGTGGTTGCAGTCGAACGATATGGGTCAATTTGTAGGTGAGGACCAGCCGGCTGGGCTTTGGGGCGAAACCAGACCTTTTTCCAACACCGCCATCACCACACAACACGACTCG